GATTTAAGATTTTCCTGAATAATTCTTACATTATTTTATTGTTTGTTAATTTTACAACTTTACCATATTTTGCATGCACTGGAGAACATTTGGTGAAAATTTGATGAAAATCGAACTGATATTGAGCGCGCAGTAGCGACTTTCCGCAAAACGCCAAAAAAGGTGTCCTGTAACCTTAAGCCGTATTATTTACGACCAGCGGGAGTCCGCATTGTCGATTATAATTAGTTGCGCAAGACGCAAATCAATACAAATGCAACAATTTCATGTTGTATTTCATATTATAAAGTTGTAGTTTCATATTTTATTGAAAAGAAATAATCAAGACGATGTTTGTGTACAATATAAACATGAAATCACGGGTATTCATCGCACTTGTATGGACCTGCAGTCTTGCGCAACTAATTATAATCGACAATGCGGACTCCCGCTGGTCGTAAATAATACGGCTTAATGGCGATAGCTTTCTTTCTATATCCAAACTATGACTTTCGCCCGTTTTGCGGACAAGGTTACAATACATAAGCAACGATAATTTTATGCTAAATAGATAAAGCACAACACAAACTTGATAGTCATAACTTGATATACCTACATTAACACGAATATTCAAAATATATTTAAATAAATACGCACAGTTACGGAATAAATTGACATAAAACGCAAAATATTTACTTTGTTTAGCCATCTAGACAACAAAGCAAGTTAGATTCGTTTAGTACAAGATGCTATGTACAGCATTAAACCAAAATGGCAATTGGAGAAAGCGATTTTATGAGTCCGCACAATGGGTTTCCATTTAACCTGTGTTTATTGACGTTTAAGGCTGTATAACTGCTCATGTGAAGGACGAATAATAAAATAAAAATCGGCAAAAAATACACCAGGTCAAAATCTATAAAATTAAACCATGACAGGTTAAACCTAACCTTGTTTACTTTTTAAAAATCGCGCCCAACTTGGTATACCCATATTTCGACCTCGGCTGAAACTTGACCCATGCATTAATCTACCTGAGGAGTGATCAAACTGCAAGCAGTGAGCATGCGCACAATGCGTAAGCAGCAATGGATCATCCTGTAGAGTGCTCAATATGACCCAAAGGCCATAGAGCAATATCTAACTACAGACGGTACCGTTTTCGGATATATATATATATATATATATATATATATATATATATATATATATATATATATATATATATATATATATATATATATATATATATATATATAATTGTTGTCTTTCTACTTAAAATTAATTAAGTCGCAACTCTGAGTTTCACGTTTTCACGATCTTCAGGCGACGATGTATGTATATATATATATACAGCTAATTCAAAAAAGGTTGTCCTTTGCAAACCTTAAACTCTAAACCTTAAACCTTAAACTCTAAGCGCGCAAAGCATAATGGGAGTACTGATTTCAAGCTTTGTAGTTGAATATTGCAGCTGTTTGTGAGTGAAATGTTTTCGCAGGCACATATTTACCATGTCTCTAAGAAATGGGCTCCATGTATACTTTCTAAACTGCTTAAATAGTGCTCCCATACACTTTGCGCCCCTTAGAGTTTAAGGTTTAAGGTTTTAGAGTTTAAGGTTTGCAAAGGACAACCTTTATTGAATTAGCTGTATATATATATATATATATATATATATATATATATATATATATATATATATATATATATATATATATATATATATATATATATATATATATTAGTGTATGTTAATTAGGATTGGGCCGAAGGTATTTAAAGACATGGATTTGAACTTATCTCGTTTCTGACGAAGGGGCTGTGCCCCGAAACG